GAATATATATATATATATGATGTATGTATATACATACATATATATATATATATATGTGTGTGTGTGTGTTGTATTGTAATCACACATGCATGTACACAAGCACACACTGAACATGGCAAAATACGTGATTCACTGCATGTACATATATATATATATATACATACACACATATATGTATATACAAATCACATATGAGTTTGCCTTTCTTTCGTGATCTCATTCTTTCGATGTTTATTTACTTGTGTATTTATTGTGTTAGGCATATAATTGTATATTTGTTTATGTGTCTATTTATTTGGTTATTTAATCATGTATTTATGTCGTTCCTTCGTTCTGTCATTATTTCTGAATTTCGTTGGTTCGTTCTGTATTTGCTTGTTTCTTTCGTTGCTTGTTTCGTTCTTTTGTTGTTCATTGTATCTGTCTTCACTGGGTGAAACATGTTCTGTTTCGGTCCCGTCATCAGGCAGTTCTGAGTTTGCTCAAGCTTTGGAATGCGACCCAGCCCTAATCTAAGCCCTAATCCTAGATCTTCTATATAATCAGCCCAAACTAGCATTGCTACCCAAACCCTAAACCCTAAACCTTAAACTCTAAATCCTAGATTCCTAGATCTTCTATATAATCAGCCCAAACTAGCATTGCTTCCCTTGGAGCGGTTCGGCCTGCCTTGCCGGCGATTCTTGGATCCGGACGGTAGAGTCAAGGTTCGGGTTTTAGGTTTGGTTTTTGAGACCCAGAGTTCAGGGTGTTGGGGTTTAGGGTTTAGGGTTTAGGGTTTAGGGTTTAGGGTTTAGGGTTTTAGGTTTGGTTTTTAAGACCCAGAGTTCAGGGTGTTGGACCCTTTAGGGTTTAGGGTTTAGGGTTTAGGGTCCAAGGGCTGTTTGCGGATGCGGACTATGCTGGTTGCGGTGAAAGCTTGAAGTCTACCTTTGGACCCTTCCTCTTAATTGAAAGGCATGTATAGGGTATGATTTTCCTTTATTCCGGCGTAGGCAGGGTCCTTGCCCGAAGACCTTTGAAACCTCGTTCCTGGCGGTAGAGTCTTCCTTTCTGGTTGCTCAGGTCTTAAGAACACAAACCGCGACTTAAGCTTGAAACTTGAAGCCACTGGACGAGACTTCAGTTGCTTGGTCGTCTTATTTGCAACGACCGAAGAAAGTAGGGTCAGAATGATAAGCAACTCCTAATCCTCTCATAGTGATCCTATAACTTACCGCAAAATGCCAAGCCCAAAGCCCTATTCTAGTTCTTTCGGCCTCTACCGTTTTGCAGCAACAACCTGACGGCTGTGGGCTTCTTGTCCAATCCCTGCTGACGAGGCTCTTGAAGCCCTAGGAGAACTCCCCCAAAAGCAGTTTAGGGTTTAGGGTTTCGGTTTTAGGTTTTGGGTTTTGGATTTTAGGTTTTGGGTTTGGGGTTTAGAGTTTGGCTTTGGGTTCTGGGTTGAGGGCAGTTTCAAGCTTTCTCGCAGTACATCCTCGTGTCCTCCTACACGGAGAAGCACGGCCATGTGTACTCCCCTCGCATCGATGAGGCGAAGGCGCGGGCTCGGAGGACGGATGTCTTAGACTGCGGGGTGTCGCCATGTGCATCGGTGGCATCGCAATCGTCCTAATATAGGGACCTTCATGATTAGAATAGGGTTTGGGGGTGTACTATACTATAACCATTCATAATAAGGAGCCCCCAAAACCCCATTCTAATTATTAAGGCCCTTACATTATGCTTGAGGCTTCGGGGTGAACTCTTTGGACCTGGGCTTTTCTGCAGTGAGGCACACTTCGACTGGGGTTCTCCAGGAGAGGCGCGAGAACCCAAAACCCTCAACACATGGGACTTCCATGAAATACCGGACCTTGATGTGGGTTTAGGGTTTAGGGGTTTAGGGGTTTAGGGTTTAGGGTTTAGGGGTTTAGGGTTTAGGGGCTTGGGGTTTAGGGTTTAGGGTTTAGGGGTTTAGGGTTTACGGTTTGATGTAGACTAAACAAGTCACGGCATGCTCAATACCAAGACACCGGAACTTTAGAACCGCTCCCCGATCCCCGCGCCCTTAAGTGAACGTAGAGCAGGAGAGCGCTCAAAGCCCTCCATCAAGCCGAATCAGATACCAGGGCTTTCGGGTCCAATTTTTGGGTCTTAAATAAGTACCAAGATTATTCCTTAGGCTCCTTATGATGGTTCTGCTCTAAAGGCGCCCAAAGCTTTATTCTAAGTTTTTAAGGCCCCTACATTAGGTGTAGGGAGGTGCCCCAAGATTCTAAGAAGTTGCAAAACCGCCCAGGCCCAAGAATCGACCTTGCAACCCGATATCCTAGAATGCACTCTTCTATCCCTATAATATAATATAATATGATATAATATAATATAATATAATATAATATAATATAATATAATATTATATTATATTATATAATACAATATAATATAGTATAATATAATAGAGTATAATATAGCAGCATCACTAGTTTTCGAGTTCTGTTCCTAGTCTGCCCCTAAGCCTCTTTCTAGCTATTGAAGGCCTTAGAGTTGTTTTCTTATTCTTGCTTTTTGTCTCCGTCTTGCCGGCCTATGCCTTGAACCTTGAACCCACAGGGGAAGCGCCATCGCTCGAATCCGGCAGAAC